GCCGCCGGGAGCCTCTGGCCCCGCGCTGAGCCCGCCCCGCCCCCGCGGCCCGGCCCGGCGGCAGGATGCAGGTGCCGCCGCTGCTCCACGAGCTGTGCAGCGAGGACAGCGCGCCCAAGTGGCGGGGGCTGCTCGTGCCCGCGCTCAAGAAGGTGAGCGGCGACTGGGGGCTTCGGGCCGCACTCCCCATAGCGGGGCAGGCTCCACAGGTGCGGGGCAGGGCCCCGTGTGTGTGTGTACAGTGTGTGTGCGGGGTGTGTTGTGTGTGGCACACAAGTACAGAGGGACACACGCACAGACATCTGCCCCCCACCCACCCCAGTGTCTCAGAGGAGCTCCGGGGGACCTGTGGCAGAGCCCCAGGCTTGCGCACAGTGTGGTTTGCACCCTTTGTGGTGGCTAGGGTACAAACCTGCCCTGCCTTCTGCTTCACCGAGAGGTGCCTGCCCACAAACTATGGTTTCGTCCGGCCTCTTTAGAGCAGCGGTTCGCAGCCCCAGATTGCAACCCAAATGAGTGTTGCGGGGGCAATGCCGGTGGCGCTACGCACAAAAGATGAGCCATGCCGGGAGCTCCCCTGGGCCGATGCCGCAGTCTGCTCCCAGCAGCGGGTCATGGATAAAAAAAGTTGGGCACCACTGTTTTAGATCTTTGTCTTGCGAAGAAACCTGAATCGAGGGCAGGAGAGTAAGTCTCACTTCCTCCTGATACTGGCATTGGTGTGGGGGAAATGGGTCAGGGTTGCTCACTTCTGAGTTCTGCTTATAGCAAATAAGAACAAGGCTTTCCAGAAATTGTTTGCTTGAAGTAGTTTCATATCCAACACTTAATCAACACCTTGCGCTCAACATGCAGCAGCCGTTGATGCTGGTATACTAATTGTACCAGTAGATGCAAACTTCCTTGATGTGGCTGAACTGGGGGCACTCCCCAGCGTGGACTAGGAATCCTAAGCATTTCATGTGCATTGATTCAGCTCATCTTCCCAATTTTCTCTTGCAATGCATCGTTTCATGTTTCACAGCATGTTCACCCAAGGTCTCTGCATTTGTATCAAGGAGCAGAAGGTCTTTCCTGGCCCCAGCACTTGCTGCTACAGTAAGTGTTAGTTATCTGCTTCTGAGAAAAAAATACATTTTGGGTTAACTACCCAAATCCCTGAGGCTTTCAGTGCCTTGAGATGCTCAAGCATCAAGGTAACTGAAGCCTGCTTGTGGTCTGAAGTGGTGAGGTGCAAGCCAGTTGCAACTTGCAGATTTGGCTCACTGTTCTATGCTGAGAAGTCTCAGGGTTTGCTGTGCTGGGAACTCGACACAGGGCTAAGTAGTCCAGGACTAAAACAGGTTTTGATTAGAGGTGCACCAGTATATCGGTCCATATTGTATTGGCACCAGTAAAAGGAAAACTGACATTAACGGCAATCAGGTTTCTTTGTCTGATGGGGCCAATAACATCTCGGATAAATGACGGATGCATGGGCACAGCCATAGCATGCACATGGCCAGCCTGACATCTTGGAGAGTAGTGTCAGGATGGTAAG